GGGGGTATTTATGCTTTGCGTTCATCACATGGCGGTTAGGCAATCGACGACAGACTATTGGCGGTTATGTCCTTATGCAACAGGGCGTTATGATAGGGCGGCGTTGTGTACAACCAGTAGTTTCTTAAATGGGTGGGGGGGGTGCCCAAACTCAGCGGTTCAGAGCCCGTGAAGTAGGAACCCATAACCCTTATCTGAAAATAGCGTGGCGTTGTCGACTGCTCGACGAATGCATCCCGTGTCCCACCCGCCCCCCCCTACCTCGCACAACGCCTTCGGTAGAATCCCAACCAGCGATCGCCCACTCAATTTAGATACAAATGGAAGACAACCTGTTCTTGTCGTTCTTGGGGGAGGTGACAACATGATCCGTTTCAAGCTATCATCGCTCCGCCTCGTTTGAGATTCTGGTCTGCTTTTCCGCGGCGGGTCAGCAAAGCGTGATCTGCGTACGCTATCGCAAGTCTTGCCGAAGGTGCTGGACCGCGGTAGGGATGTACGCGCTGGTCCCGAATTACACGAAATGGCAACAAAAGGAAGGCGGTACTGCTGGATGTACATGCACCACCGCCTTGATTCGGGAGGCTGCAAAATTACGCCCTCGGTCGATATACAGTACATCTGTTGGTGCGCTCGTGGTCGATGTGAACTGTACTTGATATGCACCTCGATTCGCCACACGAAGCACTCAACACTTCAAGCACAATTAATAGACCTCTCCCGGTGAACACGGCTGCCATCCATGCCGTGTGTGCAGCAGCAGCCTACTGCTGTATTTATGGTACCACATGGACAACACTTCGCATTTTTTTTTCTCTCTACCATCATTGGACTCTGTCGTCTGCCCCTCTGACCCCCATCCTCCACTTCTACTAGCTAGACGACCAAACCGAGGTCATAAAGGAGGGGGGGGGTTGGACCCCCTCCTGCGATTCCTGCCTTGAGATATTTTCATCGCGAGAAGAGCGCAGCAAGCCCTTCCCTCGCGACTTATGAAGTCGATCAACATATATATATATATATTTCTTTCTCCCATCATTGGACTCTGTCGTCTGCCCCTCTGGCCCCTATCCTCCGCTTCAACTAGCTAGACGACCCAACCGGGGTCACATAGGAGGGGGGGGCTGGACCCCCTCCTGCGGGTCCTGCCTGAGGTATTTTTATCGCGAGCAGGGTACAGCAATCCCTTCCCTCGCGACTTCGAAGTCGATTATGGTTTTCTATTAACAGCAACGAACTTTGCAGCGCGTCGCTTTCATCCTAGACCAGGATTTATTTAGTGAGGAAAGAATTCACTCTGCCGGGACTCGAACCCATGACCTGGCCCTTTTGGGGCTGCGAGGTTACCCACTAGGCCACCAGGGCGACCGATGTGTACACTGCTTGCTGTAGGTTGCTGTGCATATGCACATGCGTGCGTTCCATTTTTATGGAACACTGGCGTTCTCAGTACTTGCGTTTCGGGTGACAGCAACAAGAAACACGGCGGCTAGCGTTGAGTTTACCGTGCGCTCTGATTCTCTCTCACCCACTCCCAGGTGCACCTTTACTGTTGTGGTACACAGGTGACTCGACAGCAGTAACAGAGAAGTTCGTGTTGAGGGATTGTGCGCGTTTCGGCTAAGTTTCAGACCGAAAAAACGAGAAAAATGCGCTAACGCTACTATAGCGCCCCCCCGGCAGATACCAACAGCAGAGGTTATGGTGCTACACTAGAGAAGGAAGTGAAGGTGCCCCACATGTTGCAAACAAGAACACCACCCGTGCCCGAGCTGGCAGCGACGAGAGAACGCTCGTGCGTCGCTTTGGTTTGTGTAGGAAGCAGTCTGCCTGCACAAACAACACGTGCCCCTGATTTGGCCAACAGAAGCAACCACTACTGATTTTTTTTTTTTTCGAAATACGACCCAACGAGTCTGCTCTTGGTGCGCAGCAGCAGCAGCAGCAGCAGCAACCGAAGTGTACTCAACCCCAACCAGAGACAACAGCAGTTGTGTAGAAACCAGCGACGGTGCTGTACCATGAAGCCGAGACTGTGCGGAAATTGTCGCTGCTGCCCTGCCGTGCAAAAGGGCATACTCTGCTGCCTACTGCGCCGTGAGGTGTGTGTGCAACACCGGAGAACCGCAGCAGCGCGTCACCAACGGCTACAACGGTGACAAGCCATCGCACGCAAGGTACAAAGCATGCGACGACGGCTGGGTATCGTCGAGCTTAGCCGCGAGCGCTTGGCCTTGGCACAGCAGCAGCCTTGTCTTGCGCAGTGCCGTCCGCCCTTAACATATCGTTCTTTGCCTTCTGCATACACACTTCACACCCACCTACCTCGACGGTTGGGTTCCCCCTCGAGTCGATGATGTACCTCCCGTTCACAGCCGTGATCGCGGACATGTTGCGGGCCAGCACCGGCCGGGCGGCACGCACCGCAGCACTAGACATGGTGGAAAGCATCCTTCAAGGTCTGTTTCTTGGTGTCTACGAGAGATAAGCCTGTTGCGGTGGACGAGAACGGTGTGAGGAGATGATGATGGTGATCGTGATCACAGATGATCACACGCGGCGCGGACGAATGGGAGTTGAAAGTGCACATGGCGGCGTAACCTTGCACGAACTTCGGCGTTTCGTATTTTATCGACGATTTTTACCGACCGAGACACCAAAATTCCGAGGATGGTCGAGGGAAGTACAAGGGGGTGCGAAACTACATGTATCTCGGTACATATCTTGCGATGACACAACTAATTGTAGAAGGCACGAGATAACGCGCGAATCCTTTGCGGTTGAGCGCACGCCAGACGAGTCTCGTAGCGTTGACCCCTCCAGCCCCAAAGACCCTCGAGAGTTTTATTTAGACCACCAGCGCACCCGGTACGCAATGGGAATCGTAGTGCGACGAGCGGAGCCTGGGGATCAGCGTGGGCTTACTGCTCTCGTGGGCAAGGCGGGGGGGCCGAGCATGGTGAGTGTGCATGTTTTTTACTACTTTAGAAACGGGAGACTTCTGGTACGAACAGGAGTTTTCACGCACAACCTGGAGCACCACGAAATCACGGTCTCCACCGTGTGGTTTACGCTTTCGACCTATAGTCTACTTTATTACGTGATTTTTTTTTGTTTTGTTTTTCTCCCGTCATTGGACTCTGTCGTCTGCCCTTCTGGCCCCTACCCCTATCCTCCACCTCTACTAGCTAGACGACCCAACCGGGGTCACATAGGAGGGGGGGTTGGACCCCCTCCTGCGGTTCATGCCTGAGGTATTTTTATCGCGAGAAGGGTACAGCAATCCCTTCCCTCGCGACTTACGAAGTCGATTATGGGGTTTACTAACAAACGAGCTTTCTTTGCAGCGCGTCGCTTTCATCCTAGACCAGGATTTATTTAGTAGTGAGGAAAAAACTCCCTCTGCCGGGACTCGAACCCATGACCTGGCCCTTAGCAGGCTGCAAGGCTTCCCACTAGACCACCGGGGCGACCGGTTTGCGGTGTGTATACAGATGACGCCCGCACTGAAAAACTTCTAGTTTCGGCCGAGGCTGGGGTTCTTATTTTGCTCATCATCCTCTTGTGAGCTCCAAATGGCTGCTATTATATAGGTTTTAGGGGAGGGTTCTTAACCGAGCTCACAAATGGTGCTCAAGTTCTTAGCTTCTGATTTTTTGCGAGTGAGTCTCAGTTTCTTAACTGCTAAGTTCTTAAGTGTGGGCGCTATCTGTATTTATTTACGTTCTGATACATAGCCACTCCCGTAAGGCAGTACATAGATAGACTGCTACGTTGTAACTTGCTGGTCGGGCAGTGCTGTGTTTTCGTCCTATTTATTATGGAGACACAGCAGTGGGAAAGAGATATATCTAAAGGTGTAGACTTTTTTTTTTTTGGTCTTCACTTCAAATCAGCGCTCACAGCACTGGTGCCGTTTACTCCAACCCATGGTTACACAGAAGAGCCCCTCGTTGCTCTCTCCTCCTGCGGTACTTTGCCTTCGATTTTTAATGCGAGAAGAGTTCAGCACTCTCTTCCCGCTGTGCACACACGAACTAGCGCTATCATCCACTACAGATGGCGCCCGCAATTAAGAACCTCTAGTTTTGGCCGAGGCTGGGGTTTCTATTTTGCTGATCATCCTCTTGTGGGCTACAAATGGCCGCTATATAGGTTGTAGTGTGGGGTTCTTAACCGAGCTCACAAATGGTGCTCAAGTTCTTCGCTTCTGATTTTTTGCGAGTCTCAATTTCTTAACTGCTAAATCCTTAAGTGCGGGCGCTATCTGTAGGCCAGGAGCGGAAGCGAGAGAATAACTCACTTTTGCAAGAAAAGCTCGATTGCGCCGGGATTCGAACCCCTGACCTGTCAGGTCAGTGACCTCTGGAGGGTTTCGCGGTCACCAACTAGACCACCGGGGCGACCGGTTAGACTATCCAAACTGCCGTCAAATTTATGCTGATGATATCAGCGGACCTCTTATGCCAGAAGTATTCGTCACGCGTGCAACTGTGTGCAACCGAGCGGTAACAGCCATGGAGTCAAGAATTCTTAATATTGCCGTAATTTTTGCTGCTATTGCTCAGCCTCCCCTTACCAACACATGTCAAATATGTTAAGGGTTCGTTTACCAAGGCATCTGTCAGTTAACTATTATACGTCAATCGATGCAGCTTCACATATGGCGTCGTCTGCAGGACGCGGGTCGTTGCCCGGGTTGTGAACACATCCCGCGACTTACCTTGACATCGCAGGGAGGAAAATACAGTCCTGAGAGCACGTCGTGGACTTGATCCTGATGAAGAAGACAACGCCTCCATCGAATTTCCTTGCCTGGCCTCAAGGCGGTTCCAAGGACCCGTTTACCAAGACATCTGTCGGTTAAATTTCCGTACATCGGTACAACTTCACACTCTCTCCTTCGCGATACCCCTACATCAGGGGGTGGAAACTGTACACCGTTGGAATTATCGCGCTCCCTACATTCTCTGAGGTCCACACCACCTTCGCTCATCACCCACAATTTGCTGCTGCTGTTGCTGCTGATACTTCGAATCTTTTACCTCGTGGCCCCACAAGTTCCGAAAGCTGTTCGGCTCCTACAATTTCGGCCAGATGATCGAGACCTCGTATCTCTCCGTGAGTGCGCTGTCCACCCCCGATCCAAACCCAGGCGGCGGCGGGGATGTCCATCTCCTCGGCAACAGACAACAGCAACAGCCCGATATTCTGGTCGGCTTCGCAATCCTCTCCGACTCTCCGCGGGCCGGTCTCTCGGAAGACTGGCTGGAATGGTTCTCCGAGACTCACGCTCCCGCGGATGCCGAAGTGACCATGACGAACACCCTCTGGATGGACTTTGCGGTTGCCGTTAGCGCCGCTCGGGCGTCTGGCGTGGTAAGCGGTGTCGCTGTCGGTAGGGAGGAAGTGGGCGACAACAACGCTGTGGCGTGCCGGGGGGAAGAAGCCGAGGAAGAAGAGGCAGCCGGCATTCTCGAGGACATCGTTCGAACCGTATTCAACACGCTCCCAGAAATCGACTACCTCGTCATGAGTTTGCCGGGCGACACGAGCACCGGCGGCAAAGGCAGTAAGAAGGGGGCCGGGACAGCAAGCATACCGACGCCGGGATACCTCTTGCGCGCGTTCCAGGTGCTCAGCAGGCACGCGGATGCGTCTCCCAATAACCTGGACGAGGCCTACGGGACGCCACGGCTGCTGCTGTGCGACCGCATGGCCTTTCTGCCAACTCTTGCGGTAAGTGAGACACAATGTCGTCTGTTGGCACGAGAGCAGACAATGTGCCGATCAATTTAGTCCTAACCGAAGAACATGTGTCCGCGGCCGGCTTTATTGTGCGCTATGCACTATGCACTTCCATTTCAAATGTATGCCGGACAAGGCTTGCGGCTGCATCCCAGCCTTTGAAAGCTTAATGAGTTACTCACCACACGTCTGGCGGTAGCGCCGTGTGCATACTTCCCTGCGACGGATGGGGATGAATCACGAGACCAACGTATAAGGTTCCTCATGGCAGAGGTCTTTTCCAAACGACGGCAGGGTTTTCAGGAAATTCCAATAGCAAGGCGGGTGAGGCGCGACACGGATGTCCTTGCCTCTTGGTCGAAGTCTCAGTCCCGGCTGAGGTGTTTTCAGACTCCATCAAGCTTCCGCAAAATGCCAAAAGCCAGACCGAGTTAAGAGAGATGTGTCTGCAAATGTCGACCCGATGAAAGGTCGCTTCCGCGCCCCCAACGAAGCAAGCACAATAATACATGTATCACAAGCCTCGTGCTAACGACAACGCTGAATGCCATAACTACTGCACCACCGATACAGGTTCGGCCGGCGTGCGTAGAAGATCACGACGACCTGATGCCCGTGTTCGCGGCGCAGAGCGACCTCCTCAGCGCGACGTACGGCGAGTTCTTCTTGGCGGACATGATCGAGCTGCAGGACAACGAGAACAAGGTCGGTCCGACAGCAGTCTGACAAAAGGCTTCGGGTTTTTCACGCTTGCGGGCAAAAGCGCAGTCGCGTTCATCGACCGTGCAACTGGAACACTTGGATAATATGGAAGTAAGAAAATAAATTCGGGTTCACCAAGTAAAAATATACAGATGGTCATCATGCCCGCGTCCACCCGGCAGACGCTTGGAACATGCTCCGGCCGATCGAATAATCGTTGTTAGTCATTAAGATAGCGAAAAGAAGACCAGGAACTACTGTAGGCTCGGGAGATTTCTCGTAGAGTTCCGCATGTGCTTGGTGTTGCGACTGGTTCTCAACGAAGTCACAACTATGTTCGGTTTTGGTAGCGTGCGATATGTAGCGGCTACCAAAGGTATCAAAGCAACACGTATATCCACAACAATCCCGTGAGAGCTACGGTAGTCCACAACGTTGCCCGCCTGATAACTCCGGTCCAAGTAATCTGAACCCGGGCTGGACGACACACCAAATCACAACCAGTGGGGTTGTTTCCTCCTACATACTTCCGCGCTCGACCTTCGACATGCAGCTGAACCCGAGATGGCATTCGCACCTTGGTTTCATGAGGCTTCGACCACAGAAATTCGTTGCTCTGCCTTTCAGACAAGCGCGCATGGCAGGGATCAGAACGGCACTAAAAAAGAGCAACGAATGCAACAACACGACCATCATTCCCTTACAACAGCAACGCATCGTGTGTGCATGCATATCAGGCGCTAGCGGCGCTGGTGCAGGGCCGCGCGTGCGGCCTGCTGGCCACCTCGAGTGACCTCGAGCTCGGGCTACTCCAGAGCTGCTTTCAACTGGACGACTACGACCACCTCGTGAAGGTAAAATCATCTTCTTGCCGACGACGTGGGTTTGGTGCGCCACCTACCTGCGATATACTTTCTCGCTTTTTTTCGGTCTCAGAGAGAACGGAGACGGCCGGCCGGGCGTAAACTCATTCTTGATTAGTTCCTTTTGGTTCATTGAGTGAACAAGTATAACAGCGGCAGCGGGAGATTGGCCTCAACGACAAGGCTATCGACAGAACAGCAGTAGGCCTCTTTCGCGTACCACCACCAAGGAACAGGCGCACCCATCATCATTCAACCCACACCCCGACAACAAAAAACTACAACGCACATACTCTCCCAATAGATACCTCAAGACATGCGCGCGAAGAAAACGGCTCGACGCCGTAAAACGTCCGGAGGGGGGGTTGCCGCCGGCGGGGGCAACGCCAGCGGCGGCGGCGGCGTCGACGGCGAAGAAGCCGCCAGCGAGGCTCCGCGGGTCCTCATCCTGGGACCTCCGGGGGCGGGGAAGACGACGCTGGCAGTCGCTATGGCGGCAAAATACGGTAGCGTGCTGGTGTCTGTCGACGCAGAGGCCAAAGCGGCGGCGGACGCGGGCTCCGAGCAAGGTGCGGCCGCCCCGGGATGGGCGTTGGCAACATGGAAACGGGACGAAAGTGTACTTGGTCCTGGGAATAGTGATATTTGTTGGTGTGTCGCAGGTTTTGGCGGTGGGCACTAGCTAAGCGTAGCTGTTGGATCCGGAACACTGCTGTTTTTCGGAACCATTATCGTTCACTCTGTCTCAATGGGAGTACTCGTGAGTGCCGCAGATGGCGCAGTTCACCACCGACCCCTCCCTACTCCCGCGGAAAGCAACCCGACTCCTCCACAACAGCACAAACGGGAGCCGAAAACTCGTTTTTTTTCCTAAACGCACGATGCCAACAAGACCGACGACAAGACGACCGTCTGGTTCTCGGCGTCAAAAATACGTCCCACGTGGGGGGTGCCATGCCACCTACTGCCAATAGGGAATACGACAAACCAAACACCCAGTGAACCAGCGGGGGGCGTGGGGTTCTGCCTGCAAGTCCCGCATCTTGCCCCCCCTCTCACGTCTAGCCACCCTGCCCTGCACCAAGGACTCTTCCAGCTTGCAGTGGGATATCACGCCTCTCAATTCTTCCCCCGACTATTGTTGACCGGCAGGCGAGCGCGCGATGAAGCTCCTCGACGCCGGGGAAGTTCTTCCGTCCGAGATGGTCTTGTCTCTTGTGGCGACCAAGCTGGCGAGCCGGGAGTGCCAGAAGAGTGGCTGGGTCTTGGAGGGGGTCGGCACCGCAGCGGCGGGTGTTGACGAGCTGGAGGAGGCCATCGTGATGGCCACCGAGGTACTCGCAATCGCATGACTTTGTGTCCTTTACGTGGAAGGCCCACGGGAGAGGGTGGGTGGGAGTTTGGTCTTCGAACAGCCGTCATTGGCAGCACCGCACGGGGGGTCATTAACGGGCTGGATGGTAGGCGGTTGTGGCCACCGAGGTGTGTGTTTTTATTTACTTCCGCCTGATGCGTGCCCCCGGGAGGGGGGACAACATAGCAAGACATACATAGCGGGAGGGGAAACAGAGCATGTAGTTGTGGTTGCCACCGAGCTTACATGTCCGTCTCGGGGACTTCGTATTTTCCCCTGTTGTTTCCCCCTTTTCGTCTCGTCCTAAGAGGATGGTTTGGCAGGCACTAAGAACGTTATTTGACGAAGTGCCTAGGCCCCCGCGCAAACAAGAACCAATGTTTTGTGTATTGCCCAGTGCAGTTGTTTCTGTCGCTCGCTTGGTTGTTTTTTTCCGGTATCCTAGTACATAGTCTTTGCTTTGGTTTTCACAACACCTATCCTGTTCGTGGCTTGTTGGCCAGTGAGCGCGGTAGACGTCCGCGTCAGTTTGACCAATACAGATTTTAGGAGGTACTGAGCTGAAATCGGAGCGGTGTTTGAACGTAACGACAAACAAACAACAATAACAACAACAACAACAACAACAACAACAACAACAACAACAACAACAACAACAACAACAACAACAACAACAACAACAACATGGTTTCGTGTAGTTTGGGTAGAACCATCCCTCCTTTTCCTCCCCCACGCCTTGCTCTTATGATACTCCTCCCGTTTGGATATTGCCCGTACTCTCTGTTGCGATACTTTCCGTATTGGCTGCTGTTTCGGTTACTCCAATGACATATCCCGCTTTATAGTCAAATGCAAGTAGGATGACTCGTGGCGTTTACACGGAAATCACCCCCGCTGCCGTCTATGTCCTCGAAGGTTGGGATGGAGGACTTCACGGCCACCCGGCCCAGCGCCGTGATCGTGCTCGACCTGGAATCGGAGGCTGATGTGCTGGCAAGGGTTAGCGGCCGGAGAGTAGACATGGCTACAGGCAAGGTTTTACGTCTTTTCAGCGTTTTCCCGCTGCGTGTTGCTTCGTACTTGCCATAAGTAATTGTCGTCGTCGTCATCTTCATCGTCATCGTTGTTGGTGTTGGTTTTGGTGTTGGTCGTGGTGATAGCGGTGGAGGTGCCAGCTTTGATTTCAAAATCACTCCATCGTCGGCCGTTGTCATTGTTCGAAAGACGCGCCATCGGTAAGTCTGTGACAACGCTTACGACCACTTCATGCTTCGACACACTACGAGCTCAGGTCATTCTCCCAGGACGTGTGGCACCTTACTTTGTTTATCCGTGGTTGTGAACATGGCGGGGCAAGGCTGAGACAATGTTAACCGTCCGACGCTTCAAGGACCCCGCACGTGCTTCTTCACGTACACCTTGAAGCCAGGCATATATCGCCCACCCCCCCCTGGTGCTTTCAATCTCCATGGTATTTTTGCGTACGCCATGTAGCGCTGAATGCATACCCTGTTTTTGTCCCTCGAAAACCCGACGAAAACGGCGCATTTGTCTAACTGTTCAGTCTTCCCATTACGTCTCAGCTGCCCGGTTGCAGTTCTTGAGAAAGAAGGCGTCGAACCGAAACTCAACTCCGGTCTCCCCTGTCCGAAAACCAGAATATAACAGAACACAACTATATCGACAAGCAAGCGGACGATCCCCATGTTTACGAAAAGTACAAGCAAGGGTAAAGGTACCAGCAATAACGACGACAATCACTAATGACCTAATGACATCATCGTCACACGGACATCATCATACATCGACGGCAAACAACTACGATCTACCTCATCATCGCCGTAATCAACTACGGCAGGTGAAATCTACCACCAAGAGTTCCGGCCACCGCCGGCTGGGGACTTCGGCGACGAGGACGGTGGCGTAACCGTCGACGCCCTGCCCGGCGACGGAATCCCCGGGGCCGTCACCGCTAGGCTAGAGTCTTACCGGCGCAAGTGCGATGACGTCGTGAGATCATTCGCGTCGACTGAGGGAGGAAGAGGAGGAGGAGGTGCCGCCCGCGCGGATGGCGAACAGAAGCAAGGGCAGTACGGGGACGGAGGAGCGGGAGGGGGGGACGGAGTGTTTCAGTGGGATGCTGGAGGTAAGGCTATTGCTGCGGCTGCGGAAACGAAGATGGGTGTACGTGCGCGCGTGTGTGTTTTATTAATAGCATCGACCGCGCTAACCGGCTGACCAATGAAAAGACGTCAGTCTCAGTGCGATGTGTGTGTGTGTGGAGCCATTCGTCGCTTAGACCATACCCTTGTGCCTCTACAAGGCACAAGACCTTGCGGAGAATGTCCCGGGTGTGGTAAGGTAAACGGTCGTTTTGTGCGGCGTATCCAGCCAGAAAACGCTTGTGCGCGGCCTGCATTGCATGAAATATTTTCGAAACCACCGACACAATGACGGCTGTACGGAGCGGCAAACACGTGCATCCTGCGGGAAACATGCCGACAGCAAGGAAATGCCGAAGAGCAGCGCTCCCGCAATGCCTGCCACCCCTCCCACTGTTTTGCAATCTCAAAGGAACAGCTCTTTCGGTTTTGCACGCACATCCGCATCCCCGATCCCGGAGATCTACGGTGACCCATAATCTCCAGTCATTTCTAGGCCTGTTTACTGATGTCGCGAAAACTAACAATGCAATATATTTTCTTTTTCTCTCGAAACGTCATCCGGCACTTTTGGGGTTGGTGCACAAACAATACACACCGTGCGGCAGGCGGCGGGGCGGGGGGCGAGGGCAACGGAGGGGGCAGCGGCCGGCGGGTTCCTCAAGAGGGCATAATCCAGTTCCTTCGATCGCAGGAGGGCGGGGCGTTCGGGCGAGTTTCGGTCCTCGACGCCAACGAGGACATTGAAAGGCGAGTAAAGAAACGACGCGCGATATTCATGCGGATGGCAAGGAACAAACGCACGCGGTTGAGGACACGGGAGGTTCAAGCGCATAAACAACAGCGTTTTTTGTTTGGTTCCTTAGGAAGCATAATATTTCTACACTACTACCAGGGCGAACGGTTGAATTTTCGGGCGACAGCAAAAACCACCATTTGTGATGCATTTACACAAACCAAGACCACGCTCGCATGCCAAAAATTCTCCGGATGTTCACATACAAATGCTCAAACACATGATTTGACTTTCTTGCGGAGCTGGTACGTACGTCTCCTTTCGTGTCATACTTGAGCTTTTTTTACGTCGCAGAGGGCGCCAAAGTTCTACAGTAGGTGTCCCGATAAAGTGCCGGTTGAATAGTGCCAAAGTCCGGTAAAGTGCCGGTAAACTTTCTTGACACAGACACAGGCCTGAATAGTGCCAAACCGTCACTATTGAGGGCTGCCCGCTATAGTGTCGGTTCAGGCACTATCGAACCCCTCAGTAGTGCCGGTTCACACCCCCCACACAGCCTTTTTTCGCCTCAAGCCTTCCACGCCAACAGGGTTCGGAGACGGTTTCCCTTCGAGCTACAAGTATCGCTCGGTTTCTCTCGGTACGCGTGACGTATTCACAGGTCACGGTTTACCGATCGACTAGGCTCCACCAATAGGCTGGGATTTCAGTAGTGAGGCGAGCGAAATGGTAGATGGTGGTAGTGACAAAGTATATGAAAAATAAAGCCAAGGATAGCAGTGATGATGGAGGAGGAAAATATGACGTTGAGGGGAACAACAAGAGTTTCGAGCGATATGACCTTCCTCACAAGAAATGCCGCAGGGGCGCAGAATCTAAAGATGAAAGCCCGAAAAATAGTGGATAAAAAGTAGTAGTAGTGGTGGTAAATAAAATTCTAAGGAAGGACGAAAACACTCCGAACAAGCGCGTGTTCAAAAGTAGTAAGCCTTGGCAATCACGTAGTTCTCCTCTCTCGGTTACTACCATTTCTGTCTTTTATACAGAGAATAGGTCAGCCTCCTCCATGACACCCTCTCATTTCCTTGAGATACAAATAATTTCTGTTTTTGACCGCACTGGGACAGACGACGTCTTTTGGTTGGCCAGTCGTTTTTGTTGCTTCTGAAGGCTTGGTCGTATCTCTAGCGTTTCATCGAAGGAACAGGGGAGTTCGTCACCTTCTTCACCCCGTTTTTTGGTGGCATCTGCATTTGTGTGCTCATGCAAGGAGCACTAAATCCATCCATGTTTTACCTCCAAATGTACATCGGGTGTATGCATGAGCGTCTTTCGCTGTCCAGGGGTGCCTTCGAGGTTGCCTGAAAAATAATAGTGCTACGGCCTTCTTGCAATACAACAACACATAAAAATTTGATAGCGAGGTGAGCTTTTATCGGGCAGCACAGTCTACGGTTGAAAGGCAGCAGCAAGCACTAGCGAGTGCTTGCGCTGAGGTGGGAAGAGAACAACTAACTGCTGTGCAACAACTCTATCTTGTCAATCAAGTTAATATTGATGTGACCAATGCCGTGTTTTCGACAGTCCAAGAGCCTCACGAAACTTAATGAAGCCCGCCCACGTCGCCCACCTCACGATTGATCCAAATACCGTTCGTTCGGTACTCTATCAGCCCCGCAAAGCGCAAGCGCTGCACTCTGAAGTCGAACAGTCTTGAGTATTGCCAAGCCGGCACTGTAGAGGGATTTTCAGGCCCTGAATGGTGCCGGTTTGGCACTGTTCAGGCACAATTCTGAGTAGTGCCGGTGCCCGGTATAGTGCCGGTCAAATCGCCTGGACACATATTGGCACAATATCGGGACACCTACTGTATTATGCGCAAGGCGTATATACGCCAGCGCTGGCGAGATTCTTGCACTCGCCAGTTCAACAATTTTTGGGTTGTGATTGGAGGTAGACAAGAAACCAAAGGCACAGCAGGTTTCCAGCCCTCAGGCAGCACCGAGGCGCTAGGCCTCACTAGGCCTAACCCACCCCTAACCCTAACCCTAACCCAAACCCAACACCCCAAAATAGGTTGTTGTGCAGTGGGTAGGCCTAGGTCGCTGTACCGAGCTACTGAAGCGTGCAAGAATCTCGCCAGCGCTGGTGTTTATACGCCTTGTCCTGTATTCTGTATCAACGTGGCAAGACCGCGAACACTGCAATAATATTTTTCCCATTCTTTGCCTGGCCACACACGTCGTGCGTGCACGACACAGCATCCTTGACCGAGCCGTGTCGGCCGTCGACGCCTGGGTGACTGCCGACCACCTGGCGGTGCACGGGCGCGGCTCCAGCTCTGACGGCGGGTCCACTTCGTCTGCCGCCCTTGCTGCCCTGCCGCCTAACGCCTTCGCGGTGACCCTCTACTGCCTGGAGTCGAGGCAAGTTACGCGAGCTCTTTCGTCCTGAGTTTCACGTGTCTTCGTCTGATTCTTCAGCGCTGCTTCGTGTGGTGCTGTTCGTCGTAGGAATGTTGCGACGAGCCGGAGCTTGGCGTTGGATGAGACCTCTGAACGGACGCTCTGCTCAACTCGAGTCTAGTATTTAGGCAAAGGTCTCGGTGGTGTCTTCGTATTGTCGTGACCCGAGATTTGCTTCTTTTTGCTTGTCAAGTAGAGCTGTGTGTTTCTCGTCCTCATTTTTATTCTTCAGAGAAACCTGTCGCGATTCCCAATCCACAAACGCTCAGATTCCGCCTCGCCCCGCCCCCGAGGAAGGAACGGTTTGCCATCGGGGACCCGGTTCTGTGACAACAATGATCCGTCCTCTCGAGGACGCGTGGTCAATGGCCTACCAGCTAAGGCGTGCAAAACACGACTACGCCCCCCCTCCCTCACCCCGAAGACCACTAGCACATGTTCGAAAGTCAAACACAACGTCACAAGCTCGGAGCGCCCCCGGCAACACTCCCACTCCCCTTCCCGAACGCAAAATGCCGACGCTACGAGAACAGGCTCGAGTCTCGCGCGGCGGACTTCCTGCCACATGCTTTTCTGCTGTACCCTGATCGAGACTATTGCGTGCTCACGCTTCCATCGGTGGGTGCGGAGAGCGTACTGCTCCGGCACTTCTCTCCCGTGCCGGCTAGGCCGGGTTCCGCGTTCAACCATGTCCTCTACGTGATGCACAGGTTGGTATGGTTGGTTGGGGTGTATTCGGTTAAACGAGCATTGGAGCGGGAGGTAGACAAGGCATGTGCAGGTACAGTGGGGGTCCCTGTTTAGTGCCGGTTGAAAGGTGCCAATGCCCGCTATGGTGCCGGTGTCGGTGGGCACAAACTGAATTTCCAAGTCATTGTCAGTACTTTGAATAGTGCCGGTCCGGTAAAGTGCCGGTGGATTTTCTAGGCACATACCGGCGCTAAACAGGGAACCCCACTGTACTCCTTTCTTGTGCGTGTAGGGTGATGACCGGACGGAGCCGACTCATGAAAGTGGCACCTTGTAAACCGTGTGGGGGGTTTTGTTCTTGTGGTGTGGATCGGTGGAACGTTTTGCTGGCTGCTATGGGGTGATATTTATACTTACATTCTCCCGGAGTCCATGCCTCATTTGTCCTAACTCATCCCTTCCCCGCCTTCTTTCGCCCCTCGGTACTGAGTACAACACCGCTTCCCTCTCTCTCTCTTTCTCGACATTTCATGTCTCGGAATGCCGTAGAAAACGCCGCCTCCTTCGTTGAACGCCCCCACCAACTACTTTCGTCAACGGCCGTATCCCTACCAGGAGCAAGGGAGGTGCAGATCCGCATTGAACGAGATCAATGGTCGATGATACAATGGCAAAGACCACCAATAATACCAAGGACCCTCCCCTGTCTCCCCTCGCCGATGCCTGACGCCCTGCCCCAGAGATTCGCTGCCCGCCTACAAATACCTGAGGGTTTCGAGGTTCGTCGGAAGCAGTCACCGGGCAGGAGTATCGCACCTCGTAGAATGCTGGGGCGGAGCCGACTTGGTCATGGCGGCGGTCAAAGACGCCGATCAGCACCAAAACCAGGCAAGCACGGCTTTCCGGGTTGTCTCCTGAAAACATGATGTGTGCCACACTACTATGATCAAAGTGGTCACGACACGCACGTGCTTTTCTATTCTTGCCCAAAAAGATTGGAGAGATGCAGCATATGAACGGACTAGAAACCTCGCGGGAAGCACGCCCAAAAAAGGACCCCGAAATGTGCTAATACAAAGTCGCAGGCTAACGGATTGCGGATGCATCGCGGCGGTGAAGGATGCCAACCGTTGCACTAAGGCCCTGCGTGACCTACTGTATTCTCACGGCGTCGTTTTCTCAAACACACATCATCTTTCTTTCAGGGGCTAACTTTGTGCACCGGAACTTGAAGAGATGGACGGGGCTCCCGCTCGCGCCTTTGACCGCCACGAATTGTCTGCACGCGACCTGTATGATTGCATGAAGCGGTTATTACGAGAGCTCGACTAAATCCCGCCATAACCCAACCCACACTTCCTCTCAGTCCAATCATGAAACTGCTGGTTTTTTTTCTTTTCCGAGCCGATTCCCCTACCCCCCATCTCATCCTCCTCCTAATCCGCGCATGCACGTTATCGCGCGAAAACATGTCTCCGTTCCAACGACAACACGCACTCCCAGGAGCTGATGGACAACCCGCCCTCGGCGGCGTTCGTGGCCACCATGGGTCACCAGGTGGTCGGCGTGTTCGTCGCAAATCGGGAAGCGTGCGGGGGCGACGAGGTGGCTCGCCTCCGGTCTCTGTTCGAGCTGGAAGACTTCATCGCGTTCGAACGACACCGGCCCAGGAACCAGGCCGTCATGACGGCGCTGGCGCTGAACCCCATCTTTGCTGGGCACTGCCGCTTTGCCCTGAAAGAGGTGCGTGTGTGTGGGGGGGAGCTCCGTGTGTTTGTCATCCTCAGAAAGGGGTTCATATTGGTGTATTCCCGTGTACCCGATACCGTGGACAGTTCGACCCACCTGCTCCAAACATGGTATCGGGTACCGGCCCCCATGAAACGTTCGGGTACGGGTACGGGTACGAGTACGTGACGCTTTGGTGAGCTTGGAACAAGTTCTACACCTGAACCCGACTCTTGGGTAAGTTCGGTGCAGCATCCTTACCATCCTCATATCTTAAACGCTTCGGGAAAGTTCAGAATGACGTCCCGCACCTTACCAAACGTGCCCGTACTACCGGCACGTAACGTCGTTTTTTTTTGTCATATTTCGAAATCCACGGTGACAAATGAATCCACTCTCAAACGCGTTTGATCATTTGGAGCAATGGTAGCATGTCGAATAGAACCCGATCGTTTTGAGAGGAACGATGTTCGGATCCAGATCTTCTTTAGTAAAGTTCGACATCAATTTTTGAAGGATGTGGAACGATTGTTTTTCGTCTAGAAACGCCCTTAGCGGAATACAACATGACAACGCTGTGTGTGTGCCAAATTCTCGATTTGCGTCAATGCAATCACGTCATCCTCAGCCGGACCAATGCGAACGAGATACGAGCGGGACAGTGTTCGACGAAGGCCTCCGGGTTCACGGATTCAGAGCATTTGTCGCGCATCAAAACCGAAACCCACTACTTCGGCTATTCTTACCGTGCCTTCCTGCAAGGATACACAGTCATTTCCCTGCAACACATGCTCCCATGGGGATTTCTTCTCTCCACCCCCCCCATCGGTGTTTGCCATCGGGGTTGGGTTTTCGTCGCTTGGCAATGACGTTGTAAAACAAGCTAATTCCCTTCGTGAGCTCGGCAACCAGGTTACCGTTTTTTTTACCTCTCTTTCTTTTTTGGCGGTAACGATAATGGTGGTCGAGTGGATCATGTTGTGCGGGGTGGAGAACCCTCGCTCCGCGCAAGGGGGATGATCGCACCACGTTGTGTTAA